TTTGAGAAGCTGGCAAATAGAATGCATTGCAGTTTTATCATAATAGTGTAGGGGCTGGAAAGCGTTCAAAATCAGTATTGTTACAATTTGTGACTTTCTACAAACAGAAGAAAAATGTTGTGTGGCTTCAGAGAGACTGCGAAGATCTCAGTACTGTGAAGATTTGAAATAAAATTGATGCCTGTCATTAGAGAGTTTTTAAAATGTTTTTATGGTCAAAATAGAAGGTAAAGTTATTCCTGTAACAGGGCATGTAAGCCCATAGGGTTGTGAGATGTTGAGGCTTTCACATTTCCTAGACAGCTTACAGTTGGTGAGGTTGTCAGCCTTATGTACTGGCTGCCCTTTACCCCCAGGAAGATTCCTGGTACTCATTTCTGGTAGAAGCTGAGTAAGCCCCATGGACATAGTACAGCTGGAAGGATTAGGCCAATTAAAAAACCCAGTGACCTCATCGGGAATCGAACCAGTGACCATCTGGCTTGTAGCATACTACCTCAACCAACTGTGCTATTGCGTGCCCCGTTTTTGTGAGCATAGATTAATGAAAAACATTAATTTACTAATGAATGTCGTTTCTGTGTAAATGTAGTGAACCAGTATTGCTGATTCCATTTTCATATTCTTCGTGACACATTGACTGTCACTTCAATAAATATAAATACCTATTGCTGCACATACTTTATGAGTGTTCTAAAATTTAATAAGGGTGTATGCATATTGGCATAAATGTTGTAGTGTAACATCAGTGACCTTCTTTCTTGGGCGATTTTACTGTGTTGCTCTGGAAACTACTTTCGTCAGTGCACCAGATGTGTTTCATGCACACTGTGTCAGTTTTTTTGCAGTTTAAACTAGGTCCTGGTATTTGCCTTATGAGCAACAATTGTAATGTTCAGTCATTACTTGTTAGAGATTTGAAATATTGATCAAAAAATGTTATGCCTACTGGTGTAGAATGTGATGTGGTAACTCACCTGTGTGCAGGACTGTAGCTCACAAAATTTCATCAAAGCCTGAGGGGGTGAAGTTGAATTTTATACATTTCTCTGTTTATTTTTCATGGAGTGACCTGAAGGCACAACTGTGTAGTAGATGTACACAGTTTGTGTGGTTCCGTAAACTAAACATCATGTGAGTTATGTTCAGGTTACACATATGACAGCTGGTGTTATGCAGGTATTAATGGTGGACATTCCTCATCACCTTGAGTGTACTTAAAGTACATGGTGTTACAGAAACTGGATCATGTTCTATGATTGAGTGTAAGAAAGAGAATTGTACTGTTACACCCATTCAATGAAACTGACCTGAGTCTCTCATAGTGATTAGGACTGTGTCCATCTGACACACCCAACTAAGTATGATACTTCCCCCACATCTGATGACTACTGGATCCATGTTTTGAAACATTGTGTGTTTTAAATATGAGCCAGGCAATGGACCATGTCCAATGCTTATTTGTATCATGGATAGATAATTGTTACAGACTTCTAGAGGATCATGACAGTCAGTATAGTAGTAGCTGCAGACTCATTACTGAGGTCTGATAATGCATGCAACTTTACCTCCATACCCCTGTGTGCATTAATGAAGATTTGTAATACCTAGATGTGGAAAAGTTTCTGCTTAAAATTGTGTGAGGTCAGAGGTCTGTTCAAAACCTTGCCATGGTTATCTCAAATTCTTCTGCTAGAACTGATGTCAGTCATTTTGTTTTTGGTTATGAAGTTGAGTAATATAAGGGGCTATGTGGTAGTGTAGTTGGTTGAGGCACTATGCTACAAGCTGGAAGGTCGCGGGTTCGACTCCCAATGAGGCAGATTTTTTCAATTGACGTCCTTCCAGCCGCACCATGTCTCTGGGGTCGACTCAGCCTCTACCAGCAATGAGTACCCGGAATCTTCCTGGGGGGGGGCTAAAGGGTGGCAGGTGCATGAGGCTGACAGCCTAATCAAAATCAGTGAGCCAATTGTCTAGAGAAAATGTGGGGGCCTCAGCGTCTCTCAAACGTATGGGCCTTCATGGTCTCTTGCAGGAATAGCTTTACTTTTTTTTTAATCTTTTAGTTGAATAATATATCAAAGGCAATTTGATAGTAAGTTCTGGTAATTATTCACAGATTAGACATACTTTCTGTATAATCACTCTGCTTTTCACTGTATTTGGTCCAGTAGTCTGTGTTTCCTGATTCTATTAGTAAAATGTTCTTTGCTTTTTCCACTTTCTGATCACCATAGAATTTCTGCCCTGATACTGCTTGCTTCAGTCCCTCAAGCTAAAATAGGATCGTGCTATTGAAATTCAACTTCTTTTGAGGCTACTTAAGGGGGCATTATGAAGTCAGGATGCTGGAGGATTTCAAATTCCATGTTGTTGTTGATTTCAGGCTCTAAGGAGCTGCATGGACATTAGTCTCTTTGATGTAATAGAAGAAATAACTTTTGAAAGCATCAGCAGCATTTTGATCAAACTGTCAACTTAATCCGTTAAACAGCATATCAGACACTGCTGATTGTTGTTTCTCTGTCTTCAAAATGAACCTCCACAAGACCAGTGGCTTCTCATAAAAATGTGAAGGCCACTCTGTTGAATCTATTGCATTGTGTCATGCTCTCATGCTCATCTTAGTGGCTGAGGTCACATTCCTAGCTCTGTAATTTGGAAAAGCATCCCCACACACATGGATTCTGCTACTTCAAGCTGTTATTCTTGTGAACTTCTCAGTTCTTTTGGGACCTAAGTTCATCAAGACTGATGCTCATTTAAGGTGCATTGTTATCACATTTGATTCTTTGATTGTCACTGATACTTTGGATCAGTCTGATCCTTAACTGTGTAACATGTTATGCAGTCTGACCTCTGTAGATATATTCACAAAAAAAAAAACCATGGCTTTTGTCTGCAAGTGAACTATATATATGTCAGGTGTTGGGTATGTAAAGCGACAGATCACTTCACGCCATCTTGGATATAGCGAATTTATTCCACTCGCTCTTACAGTTACACAATTTACAGTTCCACAACTACTGCCATCGGCAGTATCACAATTACTTCTCCTGCTTCCATTCACTCCGGCAAATGCTAGACTGCAACTGACTGGTTACTCCTTCTCACTGACGAATAGTCCTGTTATGTAGCTTCTGCACTGAACACAGAAAACAGTTATGTGATAGCTTTCACTGTTGCTTGACGTTATATTTACCGATTGCCTAGCAACAGTCGCTGCACGGGCTCCCGTGTTGCATGACACTGTGTTTACAAAAGCGTTGCTGGGCAACGCTGTGTAGCAACCAGCGCGCTTTGGCTTGGCATGGACAAACACCGCTTTCCTTACTGTTGCGTAACTTGGCAACAGACTGTTTATCCAGGGTCTGTCTTTGTGGTAACTTGTTCCACCTCCCGTTGCCCAGCAATGGTTAGACATGTCGCACTATATATAGTGAGGGTCCTGGCCAATGTTCAAACTGAGTACTTTCTGAATGCCAATCAAAAATTTTACCACTTGTGCCATTTTGCTTAGTAATCTATAGTTGGTATGGTAATTACATTCTTGCAAGCTTCTCAGGAAACATTTGCTGTTGGAGATAGTGCAGCACAAACATACAGAGTCAGTGATAAGTGGACAGTTTGTTCAGTAATGTATATTGGGAAGGGATATCAAAGACATGGGTTGAATGGGAGTCTTTCATAAAAAAGAAAGCTGTCATTTTGAAACTGAGGGCATGACTCTCTGGGGGATCACATGAAGATCAGGAGTGGCTTGAACATAGGATCTGTTTTCTTTCCGTTTTTAAGATGTTTTTAACAAACATAGACATTTGAAATGAACATTTGAACATTTAATACAGTTTTGACTCTATGTCAGTGTCATCAGTGTGTTGCATGTTTCAAGACATGCAATTTTGTTTCTGTAAAATACAGCTTGATAGCAGGGAAGTGCAGTTGCACCCCTGTGAAATGTTCCTCATTTTAAGTTTTCTCCTTGTGTAACATTGAATTTCAGTGTACCAAAGACAGTAATCTGTTGACACTTTCTCCATTCAAGATTTTCCACAGTCAGTGTGCAGATTCACTGCTTCATATTGTTAACATTCTTTGAGGGTGGAGTAACCTGTGTGTAAACAAGTGTTGCTTGCTCAGGGTTGGGGTGCAAGGGACTGCTATATAAGTAGGTGTAACTTTAGCACTGAATTGAGGTATCAGTTTTCTAAGCCCATTCATCTTACTCATTACAGTATGGTACCAGGGATAATGAACATACCAGTAAATAGACATTTTTGGGATATGATCACATCCATATGAATAAAGGACCACTGAATTAACCTTTAACTTGCAGTTTTAATTTTGCCGAAAATGTTTCTAAACTTAGAAGTGTCTGTGAGAAGTGAAAAGATTTATTATTCAACAACTCTCTTAGTATGTCAGCGTATATAACATTGAGTGGTAGGTAGATTAATGTATGAAGAATTGGAAAAGATGTGGAAGCAAGCAGTTGTGATTTCTTTTTTAAGTCACTGCTCCAATAGTATCATGAAGGAACTGAGGTAAACCATTGATGGTTGGATATCTGCAGTTAGCTGTAGAAACACATCCAGTGAGCATGTGTCCATTTAGTAAGTTGCTGTAAATTAAGTAATTTTGTCTTCTCCTTTGCTTTAAAGGGTAAATTATTATTTCTCATTACAGGATTGTTTTACATGTAAAAAATTGCATGTTTTAAGTTATGTGGCCACATGCTTCAAACTTCCAAATGGGTCATAGGGGATTTTTATTTGAGAATCACGGGCCACGAATACAGTGGCAGTGATAGTGAAGCTTGGGTGTCATAAATGCAGTGTATTCCTTTACCATATGAGTAACTGTCAGTTTTGTGCCCATCACAGTGGCATGAATTGTGTAGTATATGCAGCATGTGTGTCTTATATATGGTGAATGATGTGCCTAGTATGTGCTAGATGTGTAGAAGGGTGTGTACTGAAATGTTCTGTTTGTGCTAGTCTCTGCAGCAGCCACAGCAGATTGTACAGCCAGTTAATGGTGGTAGCATCCAGTTATCGGAGACTGGGATACTGGCAGCTGACCCATCATCAGACCAGCAGCAAATGAACAATGAGCTTATGGGGGAAGATAATTCAGAAGTAACAGAGCCAGACTTTCCCCACGCTAAGCTGGCTTTGCTGGATGAAAAAATCTCGAGTCCGCGCTGGGTGGTTCCAGTTTTGCCTGAGCAAGAATTGGAAGTGCTGCTTCAGGCATCCATTGACCTCTGCCGGAAGGGTGAGATGCAAGTTTGTTGTATTTTGAGATTGAGTGGTGTGGCTATCTGATGGTGCAAAAGTTGCAGTAGATGGAAATACCTTTGACACAAGAGCTACTTGTAGGTTTGTTACTATGAGTAATTGTTTAGATTCTGGGCACCTGGTTTGTGATGCTGTGTATGTCTTTTGACACCTTGTTATCATGTTTAATGGATACAGACGTTTTGGAGAAAAGTGCTGCTTCCATCTTCAAGGTTGCCGTATGTAGTAGACTCATGAATGAGAGTTGTGTAGGCAGGCATGTTGTAAGGAAAGTGGTGAGACTCAAGGGGGGTAAGGTGGCAGAGCTCGATCCAGCCCAGTGGGTGCGGTGGGTAGGAAAGCAACACTTTAAACCCTCAGTTTTTTCAGTGGTGAGAAATTTTAAGAAAACGCCTTTTCAGGTTCCCTCTATTTGTTTATCACAGGAGGGTAATTTACAGCTTGAGAATTGAGTAGTCTGAAGTTTCATATTTCTCCTGTGAGGACAACAGCTGGGGGCCCCTGAGAAAAGCTGTCATCTCACACTTCCGCTTTTCAACTTGAAAACAATGCCATGTCTTGGAAGGGGGGGGCACTTTCTCACTTTTCTGTTTCCCACTGCTAACAAAAACACAGACTTTATACATACCCATTGCCCACTCACTTGGGTCTCATTGACCCTATAACTAGTCCATATAATAGAGCCAGTTCCTTATTATTATTTTTTTTATTGCTAGTGGGGTGGGACTAAGTCCCTTGTACTGCGGCCACTTCTGCCCTATTGTACCAGCCCCAGATGATAGGTGATGGTGATTGTGGAGCAATTGGTGGAATGAAAATTGGCAGGGGAAACCAAAGTACTTGGAGAAAACTTGCCACTTTGTCCACCATAAATCCCGTTTGACCAGACCCGGGATCGAACCCGGGCTACCACAGTGGGAAGCCAGCGACTAACCGCTTGAGCTGTGGTGCAGCCCCGAGCCATTTCCTTACTCTACACTTACCAACTTTAAGGTTTGTGACAGCATGTTCCCCAGAATATTGGTATTGTGCCAACAAGCTTACACCATGTTACAGTCAAGAAGATCCCAATCTGATGAGTCACTGTCATGAGAACCTCAAAGCTTCCATCTTTGGGCACAGAAGTGCAAACACGTTTTCAACATGAACTGGGGTTTCATGTGCAGCTGTCATCTTTGGCTTTCAGAAGTGAAGAAAGAATTGTCATAGTGCCTTGTCTTTTGGCTGTACCACAGTTCTTCATCTCACTGTAAAATCAAATGATTTTCAGAGTTTCTGCTTTGAAAACTGCTTCTGTATCTGAGAATTGTTCACATAATTACATTCTATATTTACCTGCTCTAAACGTTCATATGATTTTCAGTGTTTTTATAATAAAGACTGTTTTGCCTTTTTCACACCAAATTTTGAATATTTGTGGCTGTTATCAGTGTAACCTTGGATATAATGCCTCTCTCCTCTAGTAGCAGGTTTTGAGGCAGAATCTAAGTTGTGTGTAGGTTTACATTTATATGCATGCATTGCATAGAAGATTCAAGCTTATATTTTGCACCTGTCTTCGTCCCCCCCCCCTTCTTTTAAATAAGACACCTCAAGAGTTTCTTTCTTCCACTAGCAATGTTCCTGTAGATAATTTGAAGATCATTGACTTTAGCATATCAGCACCAGAAATAAATATCTTGATACTAAGCCATGGAAAGGATTCATGGATGAAATGGGGAGGATGCATTTTGGATATTTCATATGACTTGCATGGTTGGTCATAAGATTTGATGTTGTGAAGTTTCATGGTTTATTCAGATCATTTATTTCTTTCATATTTCCATTGGAATCCTGTTTTGAGCTACTTCCGTCTTGTTTAGGAATTCTGTTACTGATAGTCCATATCCATTATTTGAGGCAGTGTGGCATAAGGAATGTGTAACGAAAGATGTGTACTGGTAGAGGTTTAGTAAATTATTATTGTCTTGAATGTACTCGAATATAATTGTTGGTGGTTTATATGTCAGAATCCATGCAGTGTATGCCTACAAACCATTCAGGAGACTGGAGTACTTGAATCAGAACTTTGAATAGTGTGTATGTAGCAGTATGAATGGTGGAAAGGTTGGACAGCATTGCTGTTGCAAGACAATAGTCCTACTAAAAACAAGTCATTCATTAACATTTGAAATGAACACACAGAAACCCACATTATTTTGAGACATCGAACACAGTGTTTCTGAGCTGTTACCTCTTAATTGCATGATTCTAGGTTCATTGTAGTGGCCAGTGTTTCAATTTTTTTCCATCACAGTTATAATAGTAAGGTAAAAGTAAAATGAAAGTTGCCCCAGTGCTTAATTAACACCATACCATTAAGGCATATAGGGGAGTGGAGGTACAGATCCATATATTCTTAACCTCCCAAGATTGAGGCAACTGGTGAGTTTCATGCCCCAGCTATTATACATCCAGGGAAGGAGCCACATTTATGCATAAGGTAGGAGGCTAAGTGGGCCCCAGAGCTGATTTTGACATGGTGGTAAAGAGAAAACTCTCAGGCCATTCTGGAAATTGAATCTTGATATACCGGCCCAAAGCCAGTCACTGCACTGATGAGCAGTTTTTATTTTGATTCCAAGACATAATTCTAGACTCCAGATTTTATTTACAAGTACAGGTGGGGTTAATTGATGGGACACAAAATATATGCCCATCTGCAGTCATATACATTGCATAAATATAGGAGAGATTCCTTAAAAATGAAGGCATTACTTTTGTAGCAGTCCTGTAGTGTTCCATTGTATACAGTTATACTTCAGAATGAATATAACTGCACGATACTTGATTGACGAGACCAGTGCTCATACAGTTTCTTCGCATTCTGTTTGACACAGGTTTTATTGTAGTACATCAGTAATTTTGCATTTCTGGTGTTAAGGGGCGTTTGTAATGAAAGGAGTATGTTGCATGCTAACATCTGCTTATCTGTGAGTTACATTAATGGATAGTGCCTTCTTATGCTTGTAGGTTTGGATGTGCACAGTGAGGCTTGTCAGCGATTTTTCCGTGAAGGTCTTACCGTCTCTTTCACCAAAATTCTCACGGATGATGCAGTAAACAGCTGGAAATTCAACATACATCATTGCATCTATCAGAACTGTGAACGTTTGGTGGAGCTGTGTGTAGTGAAGCTGTCACAGGATTGGTTCCCACTGCTAGATTTACTGGCCATGGTTTTCAACCCAAATAACAAGTAAGTGGTACCATCATACTGTGGCGTGTTATATGTCGTCCATCGCTGAGCAATGAAACAATGGAAATTGTTGAGACCATTGCGTAGGAATCTCCATGGCAATGAGTGTTCCATGCATTACAGTGCTCGGTAAACACCCCTCCCCTCTAGTCTGTGATGTCACGCAACAGGGGAGTCCGTGCAGTGACTTTTATTAGGCAATCAGTAAACACATTTTCTGTGTGGGCAGGGCGGAAGCTATATAATGAGAGTACTCATCAGTGTTGATTCAGTATTGAGGCAGTCGGTTGAAGTCTAGCAGTTGAGAGTGGCGGAAGCAAGCGAAGTGGAACCAGGACTACACAAGGTTGCCTGTGAGGATGTCAAGTGTGATATAGAAGACTTCATGTGTGCGATGGTGTGTGCAACAGTGGATTATGAGGTGTATGTAAATCAGTGATGGCACTGTAATTTGAGTGTAATTGAGAGAGTGCATGTAACCAAGCTGTTAATAATTCCAATCATCCAAACTAGAGCCCATCACTTCATCACGTATACCACCTACACGTGACATATTGGTGTCAGAAGTTGGCGGCTCGGATAGTATTGGATTCTTCAGCAGTGGTTATGACCTGAAACACACACCACAATTTAGAACTAATTATTGAATTTACGAGGGCATCGAGCATTAACCTGCAAAAGAAAATGAAGAAGGAAGATATGCAACAAATAATTGAAATGCTTACAAAATTGGATGCCAACCAAGAAAAGGCAAAGGCCAATAGGAAAGCGGACCGTGAAGCTCTACACGAAATGACGGCAAAGATAGACAGACTGGATGCCACTAGAAAGACTGACAGAGAAGAAATGATGGCCAACATGAAATCCGGCCAGGAACAGCTACAAGAGAATCTAAAGAGGATAATTGAAGAAATGATGTGGATTACCTGAAAAGAGACGATGACCTGCTGAGAAACGACGGGGGCGCACCTAGAAGAATTAGAGCCGACCTCACGGGACAAGAAACCTGAGGCGGGAGCACAAAAAGAAGAGGTTCCCGTAGAATACGCCACAATGATACCAGTCAGAGGACCGACAAAGGAACGGTGTAGGGACAGAAAACTGGCTGCAGAGCGCTGCCACCAGATGGAGGAATGGACCCAGAATCAGGATGGGTGCCAAAAAGGACTGGCCGTTGCCTGCAGAGGGATGAACCACCGTGTGAGAGTGGCATGGATAAAATAGACAGGAATGGACAATATGTTTATTCCTTATGTGAATGCAGTATTGCCCATTTGGAATACTAATATCTAATATCTAATTTCTAATATCTATGGCTCTTCAGATTAAACTCATCCAGTTAGTGGGGCTAGGTAATTTTCTGGTATCTAGGTAAAAATAAAAAAGTTGTCGCAACTCTTTGAGTTGTGAGATAACTACTTCTCTGTCCTGACTGAATGATAAATTGTGCTGTTTTGGCCCAGTTTTTCCTCACAATAAAGCTTTCTAATGAACTGAATAGAAAATGCTTTGCAACATTTCCTCTCTTGTTGTATGGATATCTATTGCGACAGGGATGTGTTTACCAAGGTGTTGTCTATCAATGGCTGTGTCTTGTGGTTCAACTGTTCTGGCTTTCAGGCATTGTGTCATAATATTAAAAATTTTTTGGCAATATGTACAGTAACCATGACTTTTAAAGTCATGTGTCAGCACTGTGGTAGAGCATTTGTGTGTGATTTAGATCCGTGTTCCAATTTTTTCTTTGATTACATGAAGGGACAGTAATCTGAAGAAAGCAGTCTTCTGGGATTTGGCACCGTCACCGTGTACACGGTGCCAAATCCCAGAAGACTGCTTTCTTCATAGTCACCGCCGTGAAAGCCTCAAATCGGACAGTAATCTGTTGACAGGGTAGTTGAAGGAACACATTAAGAATTTTTGTAGTTACATAACATGCATAGCTAACTGACTGCATGGAGCTGAGTCATTCTTGAAAAGTCAACAGTTTGTCGGATACCCAGAACATGAATGTTCCGTACCATGTTCATAGTAGTGTGCCACTGACTGTGCTGAGCCACATGAATCTGGTCTGTATCTGCCATCCTATTTCTCTAAGAACTTTGTTTAGTATTATCCCCTCCTCTGTGTATGTGTCTTCCTAGTGGCCTCTTTCCTTCAAGTTTTCATACCAAATCCATGCATGCACTTCCCCTTCTCGGTGTGCTACATGCCCTATTTATTTCATTCTCCTTGACTTGGTTATTCTAATGGTATGTGATGAGAAGGAAAACTTACGTAGCTCCTCAGTATTAAGTTTTCTGCGGCCACTTAGCATTTCATCCGCCTTAGGTCCAGATATTCTGAACACTATTTATCAAATACCCTCTGTCAGTGCTTTTCCCTCGGACCAAGTTTATGCCTAAACAAATACACAGGCAAAATTATGTTTTTATATATTTCAGTCTTTATGGTATTAGACAGCAGCCAATACAAAAGGTTCTGAGCTAAGTAGTAGAAAACATTCCCTGAATTCAGTCTTTTCTTAATTACTCATGAATCAGATTTTGATTTGTTAGTGTCATACCCAGATATTTGAACTGTTTTCACATTTTCAGAAGATCTGTAAGCGCTCTGTATATTATGTTTTTGCCCTGCATTCTGGTGATGAGATATAAACATTATGTGTATGCAGTCTTCTCTGTCTACTTCTGGTCCACGTGTCTTACTAGCATCAGTTAGAGTTTCTTTGTGCCATTTATGTATATTGCCTCCCAGTGGATTTACACCATCAGCATAGACAAGAAGCTGTAGTGTCACTCAGTTTCAGTCCCACCTGGTTTTCAGGGACTTTCCTAATGGCCTGATCGAAAGTGAATCTTCAAAGCAGTGGCAATGAAACACTTGCTTTTGACCATTTTGAATAGGAAACATATCAGACAAATATTTGCCTGTACAGACACTACCGTAGGCTTCATTTAAATACATTTTAATTAGCTCAACGAGTTTCTTGTGTCTACTAAACTCAGTAAGAATATTGTACAGTACTTCCCTCTAATTGAATCATAGGCCTTCTTAAAGTCTATAAATAGCTGATGTACTATCTGATTGTACTCCCATTATTTTTTCTGTTTTCTGCAAAATGCAGAAAGAAAGAAAAAATAGAATGTGATCATTAGTTGATCTGTTATGTCAAAATCGACGCTGATGATCCCCAATAATCTCATCTAGATATGGATATAACGTTGGGAGAAGGATGTTGGAAAACATTTTGTATGACATTGGTAACAGTGGTATGCTTTGATAATTACTAGTCAGTGTTAACACCCATCTTGTAAATAGGTACAATAATAGAATCTTTACACTACTGGGGGAATTATTCCTTATTCCAAATAGAATTAATGAATGTTTCACCCTCTGCTTGAATCAGTTCTACCAAAATTTGATGGCAGTTTATGTTTCCAACTTTGCATTAGCAGTCTCATCCTCGTAAGGACTAGGCTGAGGTACTAATGTATCTGCTGCACATATTTCCATCTGCTTAGCATCATTGACCCCTATATACATTCATAGGGGAGAAAAGTAATTCTTCCACTTGTTGAGAGTCTAGGAATTTGCAGGCGTATCACCCTTCTGATCCTTTACCGAGTTAGTTCCAGGTTGGTAACTCTCCTTGAATTCATTTATACTTCTATGCAAGTCTCTAGTGTTTATGGCCTTAAAATTTGCTCATATATTCCCTCATACTTTTGAAAATGACAAGTAGGCCTGTTTATGTTACTTGACTTTGTTGTACTAGTCACTGTTAAATTGTGGTGTTTGTGACTTTAATAAACATTCCTCATCTTTAGGCTGGCTTCTGAAAGAAAACTAGTTTTGTAGAGCAGTCTTGTGTTTGTGTTGTGGGATGTTTCTTTGTGAATTATATTCTTTGTGTCGCCTGATGTATGGCTTTCATCTGCATACCAAACAAGAGCTGCTTTAGGTATGATGTGAGTAATTTTTGTGAACAATGTGCAGAACTGTATCTGCCTGTGAATTGAAACAGCATCTTTGATGTGACAGTGTTTCATTGTAACCTGCACAATGTCACAAATTTCTTAGTCAAAACTACAGTGGTTGTCATGTACAGTTGACTTTCCTCCCCATTTGACCTTCCTGCTCAACAGTATTATTTGGTAGTAAGCAGATAGAGTCACTGTAAATGTTAAATGTTCAGTGTTCCCTGGAGTTCTTGCCTCCTGTCATGAGAAATTTAAGCACCAGAGTTGACAACTTGCAAGACAGAGAGGAAGCCATGAATGCAGTTGAGACACTGAGCTGGTAGTGCGCAGTAACACTCATGTAATGTGATATTGCACAAAATTGTTGCTTTCATAACTTCTTGAGTGGCCCTCACCAAACATGTGATCTGCATGTGTACACCCTTCCATCTAAAGTAGAAGCGGTTTGGAAGTTTACAGTCTCCCTTTTCGGATAACCAGCATCTGTTTCCAGAATGCTTTATGCCACTTGAAGCATTCAAAATCACAGATAAAATTTTTAGAGTATGATTTACAAGATGATGACTACACAAAACAATGTTTTGATGGCTTTAATAATTAGAGATCCAGGTCATACGAAAAATAGTGTAAATTTCTGTTATGTTTTAGAAGTTGGAATTAGTTGTTGAAATATAGTACATAACTATTTTTTATTTGCAGATTTCATACGTTTAATGGTACTCGCCCGTCAGAGACTGTTTCACCTGGATCCAACATCCCAGATGAAGATTTGTATGCTCAACTACCACCAGACACCAGGACACCACGTGGTTGGCTTGTTGACCTTATCAATAGGTAAATTTGTAAAATATGTGAAAATGAGTGAGTGTGACTTCCATTGCTTGGATTTTGCTTTTGTTGCTCTTTTTAAGGGACCATGTTTTCGTGATATAAGTTAGCATTGCTTGAAATATACTTACAGATTGTTGTTCTGAAGCCATTTGATGGCTTGGTTTCTGCACAGTATTTGTGGTATTGTGGTAACTGTGTTGTTTTTATTATTGTAGGTTTGGAAACTTGGGTGGCTTCCAGATCCTGCTAGAAAGGTTTCAGAGTGGGAAGAACCTCACAGTCTCTGTGATTTATGCGCTTATTCGCCCATTTGGACTCTGCTATGAGTTTCTGACCGTTCACACCATTGTGAAATATCTCATGCCCATAGTTGTAAGTTGATTTTCTTTACTTTGAATGGTTTTGTAGTGGAAAGACATTTTGATATCTTGTACACAAGAGCCAGATCTTCTTACTAAATGTTGTTATGTAATTAAAACATGATTTGCTTAATCCATGGAGCACAGTTTTGTTATTGAACTGGTGAGAACTGTCAGAATGACATAACTGACAACCAGTATGTGAGCACATGTATGTGGACTAACCTGAAAGGCATGTTTTATATAAAACAACTTTCCAGCATAATAGGCTTAAGAAAGAAAGGAAAATGACAACAACAAAAATTTGTTAACTATAATTATGTAAGTGGACCAGGGACACCACTGTAATGTTTGTTTCTGATTGTGTTTTGCCTTGAAAGAAATCATACTCTTTCTTTTAAATTTCACTACTTCATTGTACAGCCTAAAAGCACTGAGTAATGGAAGCACTGGTTTAATATGTGTGTAAAATTTTCTTGTATTATGTTAAGGTTGCCATGGACTGTAAGAACCATATGTTCAAGCCATGTGGCACTTGTTCATGTCTTTGTTCAAACTAAGTGCCACGCAGAAAAACAGTGAATGAGATTAAAATTTTAAAGAATGTCTGTTTGATGCAGGGTTTTGTGAACATGACAGTGCATCTTTGGGTTTCATGGAATGTGGTGATTTTCATGATTGACTGAGTAACTGTTTGGCTTCTCAAGAAGGAATGTGCCCCATGGAACTGATCATTGCTTTCATGATAAAAAATTTGATGTGCTAACCATCATTCGCTCAGAATCAATTTGTGATTTTCTTTCTTATATGTTGGATATATTAATTAAAAAAAAAGATTTTTACAGGTTCATATTGAAGCATGTTTGGATGCTTAAATTTTATTCCATAATGTAGGAACAGTGAAGTCATATTTGTGTTTCCTTGCAAAAATGTACTGAAGCAGTCATAATCCTGGTGCAAAAGTAACAAAATCTTCACTGTTAAAGTAGTATAGGCATAAGCACCATTGTTCCAGGTCAGTGTTGTTTATGTTTTAGGAAATGGTGCCTGTAATTTTAGATGGTCTGACAGATGATGAATTAAAAAAGGAGGCCAAAAATGAATCAAAAAACGATGCTATTTCTGCAATCATCAAAGCAGCCAAATGTCTTGTAGCCAGGGTACCTAATGAAGAGGAGATGGTCAAAAGCTTAGAAATATTTAGACTGAAAATGATTCTCAGGTATGCAAGTTACATACGTAGGTGAGTCAATAAGTAAGTTACAAATTGATGTGAGGTACTACATGTTTGAATGAGGCACTTGAGGCTATTGCCACTAGATGGCAGCGTTAGTCCAGTGGCAGTTGATGACATTCAACACGAGACAATCAATGTTTACAAAAGCGAAACAGCAGTTGCAAGATGGCAGAGCCTCTGAATGAGTGTACAACCCTCGAGCAGCGCTCTGTTGTGCGTTTTTTGTGGGCAAAAATTATGGAATCAAAGAATATTCATAAAGAAATGCTTCCCATCTGAGGTGAGAAGTGCCCGTCACGTCAAGCTGTTTATAGTTGGGTGCAGAAGTTCTCTGAAGTGCGGACACATATCGAAGATGAACACTGCGTCGGCCGGCCAATGTAGATTGCCACAGAGGGGAATGTGCAACGGGTTGAAGACTTAATTGGAGCAGACAGAAGGGTAACTGAAGACACTACAGCCACTGCTATTGGTTGTTCACACGGCATGGCCTACCTCATAATGCATGACAGGTTAGATTTTCACAAAGTCTCTGCACGATGGGTGCCATGCATCATGACCCAACACAAATGCAAAGAAGGATCTGGCATTACAGCATCTCAATTGCTACCACAATGGACACGATATGCTAGCCCGAATTGTCACAGGTGATGAGTCTTGGGTTCACCATTACCAGCCCGAGACAAAGCGTGTGTCAGTGCAGTGGAAACATCCTGCGTCGCCTGCCAAAAAAAAGTTTAACGTGACACCATCCTCCAGGAAAGTGATGTTCACAGTCTTCTGGGATCACGAAGGCGTACTGTGCTCACCGCAGTCCAGCCTCAAGGACAAACTGTAAATGCCTAGTCCTACTGTAACATCCTTAGGAAACTTCATAAGGCCATTCAACTGAAGCGACCAGGACTCCTCACCAAAGGCGTGTTGCTCTTGCATGACAACGCGCCTCCCCATACTGCCAACAAGGCAAATGAGACACTGCAAAATTTCAAGTGTGAAATCCTCAAGCATCCTCCATATTGCCCCAAACTTGCTCCAAGTGACTTCCATTTGTTCGGCCCTCTTAAACATCATCTTTCAGCTGAACATTTTCCCAGTGATGAAGATGTAGAAAGGGAAGTCACCGCCCTGTTCTGACAGCAGCCCAAAGAATTTTATGCTGCTGGTTTTCAGGGGCTTGTGAAATGATGGGACAAGTGCCTCAATGTACAGGGAGATTATGTTGAGAAATAAAAGCATTTTTTCAAGTCAGTTTATTTGTTTTAAGTTCTATATTCATTTGTAACTTACTTATTTACTTATCCTCGTAGTAATGTTAACCCTGTTTTGCACAGTGAGAGTAAGAATCTTGTAAGCCTAAGGCATTCCCAGATGTCTTAAGTCTGTCTCTGACATGTACAAATCACCATTACTAGTGATTATGGAATGGACCATGGGGCTGCAGTGAGAGAGATTGCCATTTATCAGTCTTGACCTTTGCCTAAAGAAATTTCTGTTGGTGAAATCATGATGTAGTATATACATGATGAGTGGATCAGTGGAGGGGTTACCTCTGCAGACTAGCTAGATATGGGAATTGCTTCTGAGATTATTCACAATAATGTGTGGAGACATTAAGGCAAAAGAAGGCTGCATAATGTGGAGTAGTGGCTGTGAGTCTGAGTACTTTGTATCTGTAGGCTGTATTACCCTTTGTCAGCTGTTTCAATTGAAGTTGTGACTGAAAGAAAGATAAGGGGCATTGTGATGCTGTGTTGGCAGTTGAGGGAAAAGGGAGACTAGGTTTTGTTTCTTATAAGTAGGATTTTGCAGAAACACTTCATCTATTTAGCAGAAGTTTACTGTTAGTCTGTAAGGTTTGTAGTGTCGTGTTAACAGTGTGGCTGCCTTTACTAAACTTGTCAGTTTATTTGGTTAGGTACTTGTGATGAAGTCAGTTTTTAACAATTTGCCTTTGAAATTTCAGTGGGATATGTGTTAGTCATTACAAAATCGCATCGCGCAGTTGGACTCATTCGAGTGGTGACATGTCTGATCTGTATGCATGATGGCTCAAGTGTTGGCAAGACTGTCAGTTATCCTGACTGAGGTGTTCTGTGGTTTTCCTCATTCCTTCTAGGCAAATGCTTGGATTGTACCTCACATTAGACCATGACCACAGCCTGTCACATCCTTTTCAATTCATTACTCACTGCTCTGCTGCCAGTCAGTTCTGTACAGCCTGAGGTACTGTAGGCATTGTTAAATGAGCCATAATATGAATAAGAATTACAGAACCATGATGAAGGTTCCTGTGTTCATGGTAATGCCAACCATCATACAAGAAATTTCTGCCCAAACAAAAATATCTGAGACAGCCACAGGTCACAAACCAACAAACCATAAGTAACGTCATATACAAGTATACAGAAGCTGAATATGCATATGTAACTTAAAATGAAGTTCAGACATAACACACCACATAGTACAAATAAGGCAAACACGTGCTTACAGTTGTTCATGGACACCTAAATAAAACAACAGATTAACCCACATAACCTAGAATCTGAGGCAGCTGCATAAGAAGAGCAGAACAATATTACAGTGAGCAGCAGATTCCTTCATCACAGCAACCTGTACACCTGAAGATGGCCGGTTAGGCTGAACCATGTAGTGACAATAAATAGAAAAGGAGAGAATATTAAGTGACGTTGCACATGGATGGCAAAAAGCGGAATGCAAAGGTTGTAATGTAATTGAGGAAACAGTCTTTAAAGTCTGAGTACATTGCTGGCTGCTCAAAAACAGCATTGGTATTAACGTCTCTGTTTTAAAATGTCATGGCTGTTATGTGTCATTAAGCAGTTTTGTCCCAGCAGAATATTTTGAAATAGTATTTTATGTTAGTTGTGCTATAACTGTATGTAGGAATATCAAGATATGCATCACACAGGCCTCCACATGTTTCCTGAAAATCTAGAAACTTCCTATAAAAACTAGGAGCCGTAGCAGAAAGCAGTACCTTTAGTGAGAAATTTGCTTGCTCTGTTAACAGTGAGACAATTGAGACATGTACATACAAGTAATGGGAGCTGAGATATTTCAGTCAGTATAATGACAAGGCTATGGGCTGGATGGCATGGGACTCGTGGTTCAATTCCTGGTAAAGGCAAAAAAAATTTTTTCTTCTCCATTATGTTGGTACTGGCTCTGGGGCCCACCCAGCCTTTTTGTGCAATGGGTGCTGGGGGTTGGGTTTCCTAGGGGTAAAGCAGGAAGGGCACGAGGCTGATCACACAACTCCTTATGGTGCTGAGGTTAAGAATGGTGGATCTATACCTCCACTCCCCCATACATTATTGTGGCATGGCTGTTAATTATGCCCAGGGACAACTTTACCTTCTACATGTAACTAATGAGCAGTTTCTATTGTCATTGGAGAAAACAGCATGCCGTTGTTTGGATGTGAGGAGAGGAACAATGGTGCGACAGGCAGTTGGAAGGGATGGGAAATAATTCGGAAGAAAGGAGGAAAGTACAAAAAGAGGTATGGATGGGACATAGGAACAGAAGAATGGGATGAGGGAAACATTTTAATGTGGAGAAGGAGGAAGGAAGGGAGTACTGAAAGACAAGTAAAGGTGAGAGACAGATATGCAGTATGTATAAAGGAAGGGGAGAGAAATTATTTTATCAGTAGGTGCCATTGCCATCTGGAGCCTTGAGCTTGTGTACTCCAGGGCTGACCTTTTCATTCCCACTTCATTTTAAAGTTAACATTCGGTACAGAGTTCAAAAAGTCTCCTTGTGAATTTGCTGGTTTTGCTGTGTGTGTAGCTGGACAGTATTCAGCCACAGCAGAGACCCATGTTAGGTCACGTCTGAATATTACAGTTCTTAAACTGTTGCAGGAAGTTCAGAATGGAAGTAAATGCTGTAAGACATTAGCTGTTTCAAATTAATCTGTTCTCACTATTGTAATTAACACATGAACATAATTTAATTTAATTAGTACCATGAAATTTGAAAATGTTTTCATACTGATGATAAGGCTGATTCATATTGTGTTGTACATTTTTTAATACAGTGACTTTAAAACAAATGTTACAGTTTAAAGCCAGTGGTGGAGTCAGTAAATAAATATTGTAACGTGTTTACGTTACTGATCCCACTTCTGACACCAATGTAACGTGTTTACGTTACTGATCCCACTTCTGACACCAGTGTAACGTGTTTGCGTTACTGATCCCACTTCTGACACCAGTGTAACGTGTTTACGTTACTGAAGACGCCGTAGAGATGGTTAATTGGTTTATTTAACGATCTACAAATAACGGCTACAAATACCTATCACCCAGTTGCGGGGTTTCACACTTTATAACCCTAAGCGCATTAATCTGTTAACACTGTTGCGGGGTTTCACGACTTATAACCCTATGCGCAAATCAGTTCACTCTGTCTTCAGTAGTCCACACGTTTACAGTAGGGGAGCTAGGTATCACTGTATCACACGCTCCCAATTACACAATCACTCACACGTCCGGATCTTCTTTCCGCGACGGCTGCTATACTCCAACTTGTAGTCAGCTGACGGTTACTTTACAACGCGGCGGATGTCACAGTACCACTGTGTTAGGCGGCTGCTACAGTAGAACTCTCTGGTAGCCACATTAGAACTGACTGGTACCAGCTGTGCAGCTCACTTATATAGCTGCAGTGCTTGCCGGTTACGTAATGAGTGCCACGTCATCCTGTTACGTCACCGCTGTTGACTCGCCTTGCATAGTTACCAGGTTGCGGGGGCTCGGCTATCTTCGGCTCCGCTCGTGATGTCACCGCTGAGGGGTGGGAGGGGAGCGCTGACTCACCCGCCGCGTCACTGCTGGTGTGGGGGGGGGGGCTCGGCTTTGCGCCACATGTCACACTGCTCCCTCCTTAAGGCTGTTCGTCCCGAATAGCCTAACGGTGCATCCCCGTTCCTTTGCTTCGGAGGCTGTTCTTGCAGCATCTTCTTTGTCCATATGTATATGTATATATCTTTCTGTATAGATTGGATTCCACGTGTGTGGCCATAAGTCAACCCATTGTGGCTCCCATCTTTGTACAGAAGTCCCGTACTTGCTCACATATTGCGGCGTTGAATATATCTGCCTCCTCACCCCATTTGGGGGATGGTGACCCACCACACACTGTAATTTTCCTATCTTTATTTTGTTGTAGTTTATTCCACCATAATAAATCTAGGAATATGGGTTTGAACTCCCTGTGACTACAGGGATGATGGTCATATTTTAATTTGGAGGCAACAGTATTAGTATTGAACAAATTCTCTGCTTGGCCAGTGGAACTGTGCAGTACAGCAGTGCTGACAATTATTGCATGGCTTATAGAAGCTAAAGTGCATGTACATAAATTGTGTCTCACCAGGATACCTCAGTGCTTTGTCATTAGAATTCTTCAGTTTGAAAGAATTGTTACCATGTATGTTTCCGAAATAGTAATGTAATGGTTTTCAGGTTACTTCAGATCTCGTCCTTCAATGGTAAAATGAACGCACTGAATGAAGTGAACAAGGTAATTGCGAGCGTAACGTATTACCCTCATCGACACACTGGGCTGGAGGAGGAGGAGTGGCTTACTGCTGAAAGAATGGCTGTAAGTAACACTTTGCTGGTCAGGCAAGTAGTTGCTGGTTTCAGTTCCCTGAGATGGGTTTTTCTAGCAGCACTTCAGGTTACCCCTGCCAATTATAATTCCACCAATGCTTCCCACTCATCTCTCACGAGGGGCTGGTACAGTAGGCCCACCTGAGGCCACAGGACCTTGAACTTACATGACAGTACATCTGAATCTGTATAATGAGTCTGTGTAAAGTGAAAAGTCATAATGTGACAGTTTGTGTTGAAGATAAAAGTTCGACGGTTTCAGCAGGAATAATCCTTTGAACCAGACACACATTCTGAGGCTGTGGTCCTGAATAGTTTTGGTTTCAGGTAGATTGCTTCTGGCCTTTGCCAGTACTGTTGTACTTGGTTGTGGGTCATGTGGAACCCATGACCATATTTTGCTGTCCATTGTTTGTTGTATTAGCATAACTGGAATTAAATTAGCTACTTTCTTTGTAGTGATGTCATGATATCTCAGTCAGCAACTGAGAATTCAGATTTTGTTTCTCAACAACATCCACACTGGCTCTGGGGCTCACATAGTCTCATAAAATGGGTGGGGGGTGTAATTTCCTCAGAGGTAAGGCTGCTGGGGCATGAAAGTGACTTCTTATCTCACTGTATCGCCACCTCTGCACAGTGGCACAGGGACATCTTTACAGTGTATGTTTTACGGCACTCTTTGATGAGTGATTTGTGTTCTCATGGTACTTCATTTATGTGAATGCAGAAGTGGATCAAGGAGAACAGAGTACTACAAATTGTTCTGCGTGATTCACTACATCAGCCACAGTATGTAGAGAAGCTAGAGAAGATCCTCCGATTCATCATCAAGGAGCGGGCTCTTACCCTTGAAGACCTGGACAATGTTTGGGCTGCACAAGCAGGAAAACATGAAGCCATAGTTAAGAATGTACATGATCTGTTGGCCAAACTTGCGTGGGACTTCTCCCCAGAGCAGCTTGATCATCTGTTTGAGTGCTTCCAGGTAAGTGGTTCTGTGACTTCCCGTTGACTGATGGAGTAATATTGTGAAATGAAAATGGATTTATAGTAATTTTATGTAAATATAGGGTAATTGAATTTTTGGGTATGTATTGTGGCTGTCTGAATCATGACAACATAAAGTCTGGTAGATGGTTACCAACATTTTGGAGCAGCACATTGCTGGCATCTTCACATCTCCTCTGAAGATGGAGGGAGTATTTTTCTCAAAAATGTTGGCAACCAGCATGGTATTACAAATGAGATCAGTGATTTTTCACTGCTTTGAAAACCTCAGACATCATACAAGTTGTTAGGCAATCTGCATAATGAATTAAATAATCCCTGTTAAGAAACATCACAGACTCTTTAATAGATATGGACAAAATTTGGGAGCTAATATAAGCACAATGTAGTCAAATAGATTTAATTTTGATCAGGAGATTTTCATGGCGGTGAAGATTGATATTGTGGTCTTTTGGGTAAGGGATGGCCAGCATTATTCTCACTCTGAAGGTGAAGGCAATATGTTGCTCTGAAATGCTGATCCCCACTTACCATAAGTGAGAAGACATTTTGAATTGGTTTGGAGTAGTATGTTATATGGCTATGCGATTTGTAACAAGACTGGTACCTTGTTAGACCTATACCCATTTCCCAGACTTGTACAACTCGTCTTCCATGTGAGGAGGCATGGTGGTTAGGGGGTCAAGTTAGCTGTAGAATTGTGAGTGAGGAAAATGTTGCCTTTTTAAAGCTACACATACTGGGCAAACATTGTTGCCCATGTTTTACTCCCATGTATTATAGGTTTTGTCAGGTACTTTTACATGGCGACATAAATTAATTTCCAGTCTGGCCACAGTGTGACTACTGTGTCTTATAACAAAGCTCCTCTTCTAGGTAATAAGTCATTTCAGAGCTCTGAAGTGAGGTTGTGATGATTAAATCATAGTACAAGAACAGTCACAGGCTGCACTTGCCAACTTCAGAAACCACAACTTCCGCTAATGCTTCCAACAGTAGCACTGTCACAGGACTCACTGACTCAGGTTCCAAAGGATATGCTTCCTGGTAGATGCCATAAAATGGCGGGTGGCTTGGTTATCACAGAGAAAATAATATTGCCACGGGTTAGTGACTAGACACGGGGCTTTGACTGGTAATTAGATTTATTGAAGGCTTACAACTCAAAACTATAGATAATTATAGTGCTACCACTAATCTGCACATTTGACACATCACTGTAGCACCTGCTGTCTCCAGCTCTTCTAGTCTTCACTAGTCATTACTTGGTTATGGTTCCCAGCAATGGAGATTTTTCTGCTCTCATGCTTAAAGCATTACTGGCAAGCTGCCATCTCACAACTAACTCCTCAACTATCGGCTTTCAACTTATGACTGTCCACTACTGGCTGCTGTCTGTCACTATACAACCTCAGAACTAACCTTACAGAGAACACCATTTCCAACAATGTCTTTGATTGTGAATTGTGTATTTCTGTGGAACGGTGTTTACCCAGCCATTATCTCACAGTGAACCATATAATCATGCCACAATATTATCAAGAAGTCGTTTGATCACACCATTTAGTGGTTTGCATCAGTCCATTAGGTAAATTCCAGGGTAGTACCTCAAATTAGTTCACAGCCTCTTCCTTCCATCTTCTCACTTCATTAATTCACTGTCATCCTACTGTTTGATGCTTTGTACTCTGGGTTATGAAGAGGGTAGTTGAATAAACCATGAACAGATGAATAAATAACAAAAACTGGTATGCTCTCATGTATGATTCTTTAACTTTAGGCAAGTTGGACAAACGCAAACAAGAAGCAGAGAGAAAAGTTGTTAGAACTTATTCGTCGCCTAGCAGAGGATGATAAAGATGGAGTTATGGCACATAAGGTACGTTTGTGACTTCTGACAGTGAGTTGTGAATCGTTTAAGGAACTTTAGTTACATTTTGTTTTGTGAGGTTTGTCTTGTTCTTGTGGTTAGTGTAGCACTGAATATTGAGATCAGTGTAAGCTGAAAATTTGGATGTTCTGTATGTTTTGGAGCAGACTTGGAAAGGTTTTGCTTCAGTTGAGGATCATACAGAGAACACCATGTTTTGTCTCCTGTTATGATCTGGTTGAGAAATGTCCCCCCTGTTGATCAGGTCACTGCAAGTGCTCATGTGATTGTAATGTTGGTCGGGATCAGGATGCGTGGAACACTTTGCTGGGTAGCAAAGACATGTTCGTGTCATCAGACAAAATTTTGTGGCAAGTACCATTGATAATACCTGCTGCAGCTGCAATTTCATCTGCTGTTAGGGATCGGTTGGCAAGCACCATCGTTGCAACTTCTTAACTTCTTGGATCTTGAGTTCAGTTCCAACAATTCTTTGTCGACCAGTATGCTCATCATCTTTTAAACTGTCTCTTGCTTGTGCAAAACCTTTGTGCCGCTTAAACACAGTACTGTGGCCCAAGGCTTCTTTGCAGTACACTTGCTTGTTCATCTGAAATGTTTTGCTAGTGGATTTGCCTAATTTTTTGCAGAACTTGATGTTTTCCTATTCCTCAAGCTGTGACATTCTCGATTTCTGCCACTCGCAGACAACCATCCTTCACAACAGTGACTTTCTCTCTGAATACTCTGCATGCACGGAACTGCTTCATGCTGGGACAAGAGAGGAATGGACGCGGCACCATCTCTTGGCTCCACTTATCTGCTGTAATGCATTACAGTGCCACTATGCAGCCCATCCATGTAATAATTGACTGTCCTATGTAGTTTCTTTGTATAATTAAAGGCAAACAATATAAATGGAGTCCTGTGAAGATGTGAAGTTGGCTATATGCAGAATTTTAGTGCTGCTGGTTTGTGTGTATGTGTACATGTTGGAATGAATGAAATGTTTAAAAATCACGAACTTGAGATAGCAGACACACAGTATTAACACCAAAACATAATTAGGATACTGTTTTAAAATTGTACCTAATACTCTTTAAAAATGCTTTAAAAACTTAATAATTATGTCATCTCTTGAATTTCTGTGCTAATGGAATTCAAAAGTGAAAACATTTCTAGGAATTAATTACTCCAAAAGATATTGCAGTTTTAAATTGTAAGAAACCAGATTTGCACTGGCAAGTACTGCAAATATCTGAAGGGAGGGGGAAGGGGGAGGGGCAAGAAGCACAGTGTAGTTAAGAATCTGCTTTAGAAAGGAAGGGCTTTCTAACTCCTGTTGTCTTCATTGATCATATTGCATGTGCTAATTGTGTTTTCAGCCATTCACTCAGTATCTCTTGTTGCTGCCCAAATGTGGTGATTATACACAAATATTGAAGGTCACAAAGTACACTAATTACTCTGTACATATTTTCTGTCGTGAAGAGATTGCAGTTCAGCTAATATTTGCTGAATGTGTATCAGGTGCTGACTTTATTCTGGAACCTTGCACACTCTGATGATGTTCCAACGGAGATCATGGACCAGGCATTGACGGCGCATGTGAAGATTCTGGATTACAGCTGCTCCCAGGAGCGGGACGCTCAGAAGACAGTGTGGTTAGATAATTGTGTTGAGGAATTGAAGTCTGGTGACAAATGGGCCTTACCAGCACTTAAGCAGATTCGTGAAATCTGCTGCTTGTATGAACCCTCGCCCAATATGAATCACTCCCAGCGTAGTCACCACATATACTATAGGTGAGAACGGTGGTGAGCCAGGATTTGTTTAAAACAGTACAGAGAGGAGGCAGAAATTTAGAGGTCACTGTGCAGTAGTGTGGCAGTCAGTGCCCTCATTGGCCAAAAGTGAAGTGTGGTTGAGTATGTTATAGTTATGGGCCTCCTTTTCTGAATTTGTACATTTGTTTTAAAATTGGACTCAGCAGAATTTGAAACAGATCACTGCTGTTAGAGTAGGAAAGTTATGTCCTATTTGTAAATTATAAGCTTTCTGTTTTTGTGGAACTTGTTTACCTTTACAATCTTTATTTAATTTCAGGCAAGAAGTGATTGAAAGACTACAAAACCAACATAGCCTTGTAATTTTAGTCACTAATAGTCTCACATCATACATGGATAAAGTTAGGCAAATAGCTAAAGGTAGGATTTATTCATACTTGTTTTCCTCTGTACTTTTATACAAAGAAACTTACAGTAGAATCTTTGAAGATCCCTTGTCAGTGTTACCAATATGAATTAAGTATTTTTGTTCTTTTTTCAGAAAATAATGGCTTGGACCCAAACAATTTCTTCCCTGATAATAGGTATAATCATATACAGCAAGTTCAAGAAAGGTTGAATTTCTTACGGTTTTTGTTGAAGGTATGTGGTGTGAAGCGTTGGAATTTTGTGGCTGGTGAATGCTAGCAAAATGTATATTGGATCTGAACTTCAGCTGAACAAGACACCCTAGAAGAGAATAGAAGTGGTTGGGCCTTTGCAATGCTGTCAGTATTGCTTTCTTGTGCATAAGACTTTCCTTAACTTTGGAATTGTGTAGAAATTTTGTGTAGTAGAATTAACAGATGAGAAGATTGTAAAAGTATATGCTGTGCACTTAAGACACATTTGACAGGCAGAATTTTAAGTGAAATAATTAAGACTTGAACTCTTCCCACATAGTAGACATTAGATTCACATGTTACTGTACATTATTAACCTTTTAAGTATGGGGCATATGAACCCTCACCTAGCACTCGGACAGTATTTGAAGTGGTGTTTTAAATTTTCACTGCACCAGACAAAAAAAAATATATATCACCAATGTTTGTTTATGTCCCAAACAAAAATGTTAAGTAGAGGAATGAAAGCCTCATAGTTCTAAATATGTTTTATCATTTGTTTTGGCAAAATTCTATATGTTTATTTGCACCAGATTAATAATATTGTTCTATAAAAGAAGTTCCTACAGAAAATTTATGGAATTCAAAAATGTATACTTAAGTAAAAATGTGGCTGTGTCCTCCTGTGATGCTGCATGTGCACTTCCATCCCTAATTGTGGTTCACATATTGCTGCATGGACTATAGCTCTAGAGCTTCATTGCCTAAAGATGCAGTTCTTTCACACACACTGCACTGGATGGGAGGAGAAGGCATCAGGTCATGTCAAGATCTGTGACCAAGATTTCTATTCTCTTCGAGACGTGTGGGGCCTCCTCTTTGGTGATGGGATGGGTCAGTCTTTCTTTGTTGCACCTCTGGTCCCTGTATTTATATCTCCCCCTGACAGGGTGGATCAGTTATAACTCCAGGCACTGGGTTATCTTTCTGTCACCTACAGCTAGCAGGGCCACAGTGAAGGAATTCTAACTTCTTTGCATGGGGTGAAAAAGGGGGGGAGGATTCCATTGTTCCTTGCTATACAGTCTTGCCATGGACTGCATAGAAAATGTTGCTTCCATGGTTCTTCTGTTGTGTGTTGTTTACTGCTGTGGAAACATGTTTACTGTGCCGTTGTCTAGCAATGGCTGCCTTTGTTCCTTCCTCTCTTCTGGCTTTCAGCAGTCATATCACAGTATATAAATTGTGTGTATTTTATAGAACTGAGGCAGGGAAGAAATTTAGAATGGTGTATGGAAAGGTATAAGGTTCTACAGAAATGGGTTTCTGGGAAATGTTGTGTTTATGGAAATGGTGAGGATGGAATCAGTTGTGGCCCAGTGTAAGGTACCTGAAGGGGTATAGTATATCAGACCTGGCTATGCCATGTGGTGACATTGTGTTGCGTGCAGTGTTATTGCAGGTTGTACTCTTCCAGTTGATGAAGCAGTGTACTTTGAGACATTCGCTGTATGGCAAGATGAATGCAGGAACTGACTAGTCATATTTCAAGTTGAAAGATGCATCTGACATGCAGAGAGAGCAGTAGGAACCGAAAATATATATATATATATGGCAAGAGAGTAAACAGCTAAACCAGTTTTTGTCTGTTTTATTTTTGGTGTAATACTTTATTTTATTTTTTGGCTTTTTTCCTTGTCTGGAAAAAACATGCAGAACTCTTTGAATGAAATCCACACTCAAAGGGGACAATGGCATAATGGTTATTGTTATTTTTGTAATTATTATAATTATTTATCTTGGCCGGAGACATGCGTTAGCATAGTTGGTTGAGGCACTATGCTACAAGCGGGAAAGTCGCAGGTTTAAGTCCCGATGAGGTCATTGGATTTTTCAATTTACCTAATCCTTCCAGCCGCAGTATGGCCCTGGGGTCAACTCAGTCTCTAACAGAAATGAGTACCAGGAATCTTCCTGGGGGGTAAAAGGTGGCTGGCGCGTAAGGCTGAGAGCCGTATCACCATCTGTGAGCCGATTGTCTAGATAATATGGGACCCTCAACGTCTCACAAACCTATGGGCCTCCATGGCCTTTTACAGGGATAGCTTTACCTTATTTTTCTTGACCAGACCTGAGATATAACTGCTGACTGAGAACCCAGTAACCATATATGCCCAGTACCTGCCTTTGGGATTCATTGGTTTGCCATGAAATATTTGAAATTAATGAGACACTGCAAGTGGTCAGACACTCCATTGATTTACACGCATGGGCCATCCAATTTCAAACCACTGAAGGGTTATGTACAGTGGAACCCTCATTTAGTTCTCCTTGATTTAAGGTTTTCCCCATTTTATAGTTCAAATCCACTGTACTTGCCCCTGCACCCCTATACAAAAATATATTTCTTTTCCAACAAAAAGAGAACTTTTTAATCTGAGTGTTCAGACATTGTGACATCAAACATTGTTGCCAGGCCAGTGGTGTTTAACCTTTGATGTACGGACTTTTAAATTGCGGCAGCCCTCTGCAGCCGGTATTTAAATCACCCTAATTAATTAACATTGCAAACTTTCAGAAAAAAATACATATTTTCCGTTCTATGCAACATAGAAATGTGAACTAAAAACAACCCGAAAGACAATAACATTTTCTACATATTCACAAAAGAGCAATTTTTACAAATGAAAATTAACTGTGATTATTTTATCATGAAATGCAAAATATAATCTTTATTATATATGTTATGAAATTCCAAAGGACTTGCCCATTTGTTTTTTCTTGAACCTTGAATCATGGTGATATCATAAATATAATCACTATACAGGGTGTTTCACGACTTTAGGGCATAACTGCAGGAGGTGATTTCCTAGGTCTTTGTGATCAAAAAAGTTTGTGTAACGACTTCAAATCTTTATAGAGTCCTAGAGATGACAATCCTGTCAGTCTACAACTTCATCCTATACTTTCATTTTCCCATCCCATTATTTCTTTCTTCTTTTTGTACCTAACTTTTTACTCTCTAGTTAAGCATACCATGTCTAAAGCATCTTTGAGGTTGCATTGTCATTGGATAGTGACGTAGATTGTTACAGCACTATTAGAAAGTTGCTGTATTGTATTTTTAACATGTGATGGGATACAGAATTTGCATACTGGAGATTTCGTTGAAGAAACAGCACTTTGCATTCATGAGGCTGCATACTTAAGGTTTGATTTACCTTCAGAGATGTTTTAGACAAAGCTTACCCGTTAACTGTGTGAACTAAATGTGTACCTTGTTCAGCCTTACGGTAAAGTTGTTGCGTTGTAGGATGGGCAGCTGTGGCTGTGCGCTGACCAGGCAAAGGAGATCTGGCAGTGTCTTGCCGAAGAGGCTGTCTTCCCGTCTGATAGAGAAGCTTGCTTCAAATGGTTTTCTAAACTTATGGGGGAGGAACCAGACCTAGATCCGGCAATAAATAAGGATTTCTTTGAAAATAATATTCTCCAGTTGGATCCTACTTTGCTAACTGAAAGTGGCATGAAGTGAGTACTATTTGCAGTCCCTGATAACCACAGCATTGGAAAGCCATGAAAATCTCAAATTCCAAAAAAAACAGTGACATTTAGTAATAATTTCTGTGAAATGAAGCGGAATCCAGCATAGGTTTTGTCGCTGCTGGGCTGTCAGCAGTGTTCCCTGTAAGCTGTGTGTGTGGCTGTGCAGTGGCTGTTGCACTCCCATATGCATGTCTTGTTCTCCCGCGTGCATCTGTTTGCTTAGTGTGTTGTCACTTTGAACTAATGAAAATAGCATTGAAAAAATGAACTTCATTTTTTTTTGTTATTTTTTAACGTCTGTTATGGACATTTTCCAAAAATTGCCGCCCCCCTAAGGTTGCCCATGCCAACAGTTGCTGTTCAGACACACATCTCTGGCTTAGAGGGAATGTTGGCTCTCAGTGTATTGTCATGAGTCAGGTATAATGTACAGCAGGCAAACTGGATGCTGAACCCAGTGGCGAAGGAGCACTGACCTCCAGCATGAAAAGTTTCATGTTCGGGAAACTTTTGCTTCCATCTGTCATATTATTGCTACAGCAGAGATGAGAGGGTAACAGGCAGGAATGTTGAAGTAAATGCTTTGTCATATGTGTTAAGTAAATAATTGGTTTTCATATCTCTTAATTTATTCTTTTCAGGTGTTTTGAGAGGTTTTTTAAGGCTGTGAACTCCAAAGAAGGGAAGTTGAAAGCTAAGAGACGAGCTTTCTTAATGGATGACGTAGATTTAATAGGAACAGAGTATATATGGAGGGTAAGAACTTTGTCTTCATACGCATATAATAATGTTACCTCTTCGAGAAGAACAGGGTCATCCTCAGTGTTCAGTACGCAGTATGTTACATATACAGTGTGTGTACCAGAGTGCATGATGGGGGAGGAGGAAGTAGCAGAGTGTGTACGTGGTCTTGGGTATTTCCTTTGGCTTGTGTTTTGGATATAAGTGATTTAAATCTTAGTTCTGCTCTCATTTATTGTGGATCTGGGTGTGTTGTGGTTTCTCTTGTTGTAGAAATTTTTATTTAAAAGAAAATGATTCATGAGTGCTGGTTCCATTAGTCCCCGGTTTGCTACTTAGCATGTTCCTCATTTTTTATTTAATTCTAAAGTAATTGTACAGTTAATTCAGCAGAATCTTTGAGAAACTGACAGTTGCTTGGCTAGTCTAGAAACTCCTTCCTTGCATGTTCACAAGGTCATGCAAGTAATCCTTAGCCTGACTTTGATATTTCCAGTCCACGCTTTCATATTCCATTCATTGTGAAAGTCCACTGTAGTATTGTTCTTTCACTTATGTCTGGGTCTTCCAGGTGGTTTCTTTCATTCAGGTTTCTAAATCAGAACTTTGTGTGCGTTTCTCATTTTTCCCACCCGAACTCATCTCTTTTAATTTGTGAAGAGAATCAGTTCCCAAGGTTTTTGTTTTAGAATTTTTTCTGTGTCCTTCAACAGTCACATTTACATAGGGCATGTGAAAAATATGTCATTACTTTGGTGGCAGGGAGCCTTCATTTTGTTGTACAATGGGGGCTTCATCACTAGTACTCTTTGCCAAATAGAATGATATTGAGGAAGATGAGATGGGCATGGCATGCGGCATGCATGGTTAGAAGACTAATGCATTTAGAGTTTTGGTGGGAAAGCCAGAAGGAAAGAGACCACTAGGAAGACCTGGACATAGGTTTGAGGATAATATTAAAATGAGAAATAGAATTGTATGGACTGTATTGTTTTGGCTCAAGATAAGGGAAAAGTGGGGGGTTCTTATGTACACAATAATGAGCCTTCAGCTTCCATAAAATGTTGGGAAAATCTTCAATAACTGAGTGGCCGACAGCTTCTCAAAAGGACTCAACTTCGTAAATGTATTATTTGATTTACATACATTTTGTTCGTATTATCATTCAGAGTGGGGGGCATGCAGTACCGTAGTTGGTTGAGGCACTATGCTACAAGCTGGAAGGTCGTGGGTTCAAGTCCCGATGAGATCATTGGATTTTTTCAATTGACCTAATCCTTCCAGCTGTACTGTGGCCCTGGGGTCAACTCAGCCTCTAACAGAAATGAGTACCAGGAATATTCTTGGAATATTCTTGGGGGTAAAGGGCGGCCAGCGCGTAGGGCTTACAACCTTGCCACCATGAGCCGATTGTCTTAGAAAATGTGGGAACCTCAGCATCTCACAACCCTATGGGCCTCCACGGTCTGTTACGGGAATACCTCTACTTTACTTTATCATTCTGAGTGACATAATTTGATTTGTAAGGCATTCTGTGAATTTGTGCGTCTTTGATTCCGTAAAATCCTTATTCAGTGTTCTCTGCATATTTTTCAGGTTGTAACTAACAGTGGCGATGACATAGCAAACCGAGCCATTGAGCTACTGAAGGAAGTAAACACAAACCTTGGTCCTCGACTGCAGTCCTCTCTACTCGAGTTCCATGAAACCTACATTTCAGAGTGCCTAGATCGACTACGTGCCCATTATGATACAGTGTCAGCCCTCTGTCATGAAGATGATGGAATCAAGGATGATGGTGGCCTTATTGGTTTACCAGTTACACTGAACAAACTGAAAGGCGAGGCTGTGAAAATGTGTCGTGTGATGAAGGTGCTGCAGGAGTACATAGGCGAGTGTGATGGGGACTTCACTGTGGAGAGGAAGATACTGCCTCTACACAGGTATATCATTGTCTTGGCTGGCGTTACCGATGGTGACTGTCTTTTTGAAATAAACAAAAAACGTGTCAGCACACCAGAAACCAGTAATTTACTGTTGAGGCAAATGAGCTGTTGGTAATACACAGAACTGAAATCTGTACTGCGCTAAGGAGTGCACAGAGGTTCCACATGCTTTCTTTCCGCTGTGCCGTTGTAGTGGATTGATGTTATGGATTGTAGATACAAATCCTTGTTGACAAAACTAATCAACAGTGAAGATATTACATTGCTTAGTTTCTCTTTGTTATTTCTACATGCCAATGCGTGCATTATGACCCCCCACACNACACACACATACAAAAGTGTTTCAAGTGAACCTCATGTATTGCAATCTTGGTAGTACAGGAATTTACAAAGTTCATGAAAATGCTTGTTCTGATGCCTACTGATAATGTCTGACATTTGCTGAAATATGTGACTACAGGTAACGTGTAAGTATGCATAATACAGTATGGCACTGAGATTTAAAAAATAATGTTGGTACATCATAACCTCTTGTACTTGCAGCTAGCTGCTAATTAGCAGCTGTCCTTTGCTAGAATGTGCCCCCCCCCCCCAACCATTTGCTTCATGCCTATGTGCTGCCCATAATTTACTATACATGCATAAACATTACAACCGATGTAACATTACAAAATATTTACATTGCAGTGATTCCGACATATGTATGTACAATGTTTTGCAGCTTAGTTTTAAAAGCCACGATTGGAATACACTCAGCTTGGTTGCATATTATGGTTACAGTGACAGACTTGTGTCTGACAGTAAGGCAGTCTTGCAGCAAGCAAACACATGGAAATCGAGAAGTTGCGCACATCACACTAAGCAATTATATTTTGCTGGTTTAATGCACAAACTACAAGACATACAACACTTACTATTAATGTTTATAACCTTACATCTTAGAAATGCAAAATTAAATCATGTCTTAACAACACATGCTCAAAATGGCTACCCTGTTCAGCAATGCATGCGTGAACTCTTTTTACTATGTTTGAGACCACTTTGTGGAGCGTCTGTAAATTGATTCTGTTAACCACCATCGTAATGTTCCTCTTGAGGTTATTCAGTGTGTGCGGATTGTTTTTATAGACGATTCCTTTGAGGTACCCCCGAAGGAAAAAATGTGCAGGTGACAAATCGGGTGAACACAGGGACCACAATCCTTTCGAAATGAGAAGGTCACCAAAAAACTCTTGCAAGAACTGCATGGTTTCATTAGATGTATGACATGTGGCACCGTCTTGCTGCAACCAGCACTCATGTTCATCAACTTCAAAAACAGCAATAAACTGTGTAATGATGTCTTGGTACGCTGGACTGTTCACTGTTGTTTCAAAGAAAATTGGGCCTACTATTCGACGACATGATACAGCACACCACACTCCAATTTTCTGACAGTGCAAGGGCTTTTCATGTAACACGTGGATTTTCAGATGACCAAATCCTATTGTTTTGTCTGTTCACGTAGCCACTAAGGTGAAACCACTCTTCGTCAGTGAAGAAAACCCGATCAAACTCTCCAATTCCATGGTTGCCAACACATGTCCGAATCCATCTACAGTACACTAAGCATGTTTCTTTGTCCAGGTCCTTCAGTTCCTGTACACAGCGAACACGATATGCATGGAGGTGTAACTTCATTGCTTTCTGAGCACTTTTGTATGAAATCCCTGATTGCGCTGATAGTGTTCTCAGGCTTTTTGAAGGGGAACACTGCAACATTTTCTCCATGTCAGACAGTTTAGCCTCAGTCAGAATGCCCGGTCTCCCGGATCTCTTCCTGCCTGAAACTGATCCACATTCCTGAAATTGGTTGATTATTCTCGTTATCGTCAAATTGTTAGGAACTGCAGATATTCCCGATAAAACTTGTCTGTGACACGTGCATGAGAATGACTGGTGAAATAATATTTCACAAAGAAAACTCATTCTTGGGAAAACGACTTGTCTGTCATGCAATAAACAAAGCTATACTGCAGACATTGTATGACCGATGCATGACAGATGATGTTTCTACTTGTTAATACTCCTAGAGTACCATCTAGTGGTAGGAAATATAATTATATTAACTGCAATACAAAATATAACAACTTTTAGTTTTATGTGCGTGACTTTCGATCTTCCTGTATATGTGATCAGCACAGTAGTGATGGGAGGTTGTGCTTGCTCAGATATCTCTGTCTCTAAAGTTGAATTCATTGCTCTTGCACTGAGGTGCATGATTTAACAGAGTTTCTATCACTTGCAGTTTTCCTCTGTCTGTGATGCAACATAATTTTCACAAAGTTAATAGAAAGTCCGTCGAGTGTAACAATTTGTAGGTCACTTTTTATTATTATTTCTGCCTTACATGTTTCGGTTTGACACAACCATCATCAGAGGCACTTGCTGCAATTATTGAAACACTGTCGCTGTTTTGATGTTCACAATTATGTTTGTCGTGTGGACGTTGCTACGATATGTTGACGTGTAAAAGCACAAACATGCTAAGATAGTTGAGTACACTATCAAGTTCTCACTTTTCATCCGAACCTATTTTAAGTTAAAACACTAAAATGTTAAAATATTTGATATAAGTGCTGAACTTCTCCTTGTTAATTCATCCCGAAGATGGGAGACGTCAGCTTGAGGTTGTATGGCTTATGATTTGATGTGTTCCTGTGTGCTGTGTGCCTCTGATGATGGTTGTGTCAAACCGAAACATGTAAGGCAGAAATAATAATAAAAAGTGACCTACAAATTGTTACACTCGACGGACTTTCTATTAACTTTGTGATTGATAGTGTAACGGACCAAAATGAAACAATTAAAAAAACAACATAATTTTTATTTTAGATGACACCAACTTACATTTAACTCACTAAATATTGGTTAAAATGTTTAAAATGCCCTATAAATACATATATATATATATATACACACACTCTATGTCAGGCTACACGTTTTGGCCTCACAGGACCATCTTCAGGCAACACATTTTGATGGAATTTATTGCCCTGTGCCCACTTTTGTCAGTACTCACTAATGTACATCGTTGTCATTCTCAACTTTGATGTTAATGAGGATGTGTGTTCTTTTCTATCTTTGTATTGCGGCTTCTCTGTGCCCCTTTAAATGCCCTGCTTCCCTGGTTATACAAGGGACACACGGAAATAGAAAAGAACAGACGTTCTCCTGACCCCAAAATTGAGAACAACACATGTAGCCTGACATAGTGTGTATGTGTGTGTGTATACAGGGTGTCCCAGGAGGAATGTGCCAAACTTCGGGAGGGTGTTCCTTATGTTAAAGTATGCCGATATAACCCAAAACACCTATGTCCAAAGTTGAACGGTTACGGAGATAATGGCC